GTGTGTATGAGCTGGCACGGGACACAGTTGGCACTGGCAGTCTCGAGACCCTACAGAAAGCTAGGGTCCAGAGAGCTTGCTTTAGATTAACCTCAGTGACTATGAAAAAGGTTCTGATAATCTGGTAAACGGAAATATTTCTATTTCCAGCTGTCTCTTTAAAGACAAATGTAAGACCCCTTGGAATTCCAGGTTTCAACAGGGCGGTAGAGCATGCCGTGCACAAGCAGTCTGGAACGTCACTAACCGGGTCCTTCGGTCCCTCCCTTCCTCAGGGCACACCTGTTTGTGCGGGAGATTTGCGAGCAGATAGCAAATGCAACCGCCCAGTGACTGCGGATTTAAGAGCACCATTGTTCTCACCTCTGAAGCTGGAGTCTTATGGCAAAGCTAGAGGCTGTTTCTGATATGTCGCTCTCATCAGAATCCATTACCTTTAGAACACATTTTTGAATACCATTTGAAAGCCTTTTTTAAAGACAGGAAGTTTTAAAATCATTAACAACAACAAAATCAACATTTTAAGCAAGCATATTATTTTATTTTATTTTTATTATTCTTAAGAATTATTTTATTTAACTTTATTTATTTATTTTAATTTGACCAGAGAGGGACAGAGTGAGAGAGCAAGAGAGGAAAAGTGAGAAAGCAAGTTGCCGGTTCCGGGACTTGAACTGCAGTCAGCCATGTAGGGGGCAAGCACCCTTAGCCACCATGCCACCTGCTGGCCCCTATTATTATTATTATTATTATTATTATTATTATTTAGTACATTTGATCATTATACATCATTTAGCTTGCAAGTAGAATTTACCCAACATGAAATATACCTCAGACCAGTCCAGCTGAGAATACTATACATGTTATCATAAACAGGTAGTAAAACATTTCTGTGTCCACAAATGTCTTAAGCAAGTGTATTTTCAAGAACAGGATAAAAAAATCCTGAAATGTTTTATCAGAATAACTATTATTATCTGCCAGACCAAAGAAATTAAAATGTTTTGCCTCCTTTGACACAAAATAAGAATAAATGAATTTTTATTTCTTCTTCCCACTTTCAACATAAGAGTATTGGTTCTTTTTAAAAAGAATTATTTATTTAATCTTATTGATTATTATTATTTAAATCTGCTATAGTGAACACACACTCACCAGAGAGAGAGAGAAAGTGAGAAAGCAGGCCGCCAGGCCTGGGACTTGAACCTTGGTCGGCCATGTGGGAGTCCAGCATCTTAACCACCATGCCACCTGCTGGTTTCAGAGCATTGGTTTTTAACCTTCATCGGGCCATAGATTCAGGAATATGATACAAGATACGGTACTTCAGAGAAAAGCACTCAGACACATATACAAACTATCACAACATTTTATGGGTTTCTGTCTCATTCATGGACCCCTTTATTCATGGACTCTAGTTTCAAAATCTCAAGCCTAGATATCAGTGCAGGGTGAAAATAAGTTTTCTCTCAATTTTTCTCCTCCTTTTTTTGTTTGTTTTGCTAGAGGGTGTGTGTGCTCATCAGAGAGAGACAGAGACACAGAGAGAGAGGAGGGAATTTTGGGGGAATTTTTTAAATTTTATTTTACATTTATTTACTGAACATCATCACATCATACAAAATGTGATTTCCCATCCAGAACACACTGTATAGTGTCTTAATCATACAGGTTATCGTCAACAAATAATTTCTCACTTCTTATTTCTTATATATTCATAAATAGTTTTTTTATTCCCTATTTCTCACCCTGCCATTTCCCACCCTCCTCCCACATCGTCTCTGGTATCTGCAGTTGTTTTCTATTCCTTTTTCCCCCACATTTTGTTGATTCACAAAATATCTTAAACACTTTCGATCAAAAGTTCAGCTGATGTATACACAACTGTGAACACACGTCTGACTTTAGGCATGAAACTGTGAGTAGTAAACATACTATAAAGTAGCACCTTGGTGGGGCTATATAGCTTACTGTGGTCCTTAAATAGGTATTATTGTTATTATATATATGTGTATATAGTTTCAAGAAAAGCAGGCATAGCTTTAATAAATCAAAGTAAAAAAATGTTAAGAGTAATTTGCTTAAGACTTAAAGCCAGGAAACAGGTTAGGATTCTGTTCAAATAGTAGGTACATGAACCTATTGGCAGCTCAAGACACAAGTCGTTAAACCTGGAAAAAACAGCATAGAAATCAGTAAGGTTTAGTCACAAGTCATAACTCTACTTTGTCAGTTCAGTCTCATGTCATTAATTTCTCGTCTGTTGTGGTCCGATCTTTCTGTTTAAATTCGGGAAGATAACGTTCAACTCTGGATTCACCCCTACTGCTAGGTTGGCCAGTTTCTTGGTTGTTTTTGGACTCTTATTTCTGCGTGTCTGTATTTAGTTTTCCTGGTCTAGCACTCCGTTTAAACTTCTTGGAAAGCTGGTCTGGTGTTGGTTAATTCTTTCAGGTTTTGTTTATCTGAGAATGTTCTTGTCTTTTTTTCCCATATGAAGGATAATCTTGCCGGGTATAGTGTTCTTGGTTGAAGTCATTTTTCACTTAACACTTTGAATATATTTTCCCATTCTTTTCTTCTTTAGAAATTTGGTGTACACATGCACACATGCCTGGATGTTTCTCAAGCTTCCAGGTCTAGAACTCAAGCCATGTGATGAGATCTGGCTGCCTTACCCACCAGGCCATGGAGTGATCCTGAAAATGAGCTTTAAGTTATTAAAACTCACTCAGTATAAAGAAGGAAAGTTAGATTTTTGTTTGTTTTTATATTAACTTAAAAATAAGTCACTTTGGAGATAAAGCGACTTTCAGAAGTCTTTTCCACCAATGTCTTTAATTTCAAAAGCCAAATTATATATAAAATTCAGTAGTATACATCTCAAAAAGTATATTTTTCCCTTAAAAAGAATTGTTTTATTTTGATTTATTTATTTACTTATTTAATTTGACCAGAGAGGGACAGAATGAGAAAGAGGGGGAAAGTAAGAAAGCAAGCTGCCAGGTCCAGGACTTGAACTGTGGTCAGTCATGTGGGAGTCCAACGCCCTTAACCACCACACCACCTGCTGGCCCCTCATTTTTTTCTTTTTGAATTTGCTATTATTCTTTTTTTCTTTTTAATTTGTTACAGCAGTACTCCCATCACCAGGGACCAGCCTCATGGAAGAGAATCCTTCCATGGAATGGAGTGGGGGGTGGTCCCCGGTGACCCAAGCACACCTCATCCACCGTGCACTCCATTTCTCAGGAGGGTGGCTACGCTGCGATCCCTTCCCCTCCAGTATCCTCTTGGGATTTGGGGCGCATGCGTGTGTCCAGCATGATTTTCAAGCTGGTAAGATCAAGACTCAAATCAACTGGTCGGCCATGGGGGATCCAGCAACGTCAACCTCCTTGCCACCTTCTGGCCCCTCTTGGAGGTTTTGTGGTTTTTGTTTTTGCTTTTTGTTTGTTTGTTTGTTTTTGGAGAGGTTTTCTCTATAGGCGCGTGCTCTAGCCAGACAGAGACATAGAAAGCGAGAAATCACCCCCCAGGGGGGATGGCCATGCCGCAATCCCTTCTCCTCCATTCTCCTCTCAGGATCTTGGGCACGCACGCACACGCGCCCGGCGTGAGTTTTAAGCCACCGGGTCCGGGACGCGAACCACAGTCGACTACATGGGAGTCCAGCGACATAGCCATTATGCTAACTGCTGGTTCCTACCCCCTTGGAGTTTTTTTGAGGGAAGCTTTTATTTGTTCATTTACAATGGAAAACTTACATAGTATTTATTCAAGATGTCTCCATCAAAACTTTTGATCATTTGGTTTCACAGGTGAAAATACTGTGGATTTCATTTATATTACACTGAAGTACAATAACTTTAGTCCATTTATTTGCTTGTTTTTATTTAATTTATTGAGATAGAATTCATGTACCACACAATGCACTTATTTAAAATCTGTAACTCAATGGGTTTTAGTATATCCAGAGTTATGTGACCATCACAACTTGTGACCAGTTCCGTCCCCGTTATCAGTCCCTTCCCCACATCCCAACAACTCTAGCCTTAAGTAACTTCTAATCTACTTCCATCCTTACAGATGTCCTTACAAGATGTTCACACAAAATTTGGCTGTTGCAACTGACTTTTATCACTTAGCATGTTTTCAAGGTTCATCATGTTGTAACATCAGTAGTTCATTTAATTTCTTATTTATTTATTTATTTGTGCTATAGGGTGTGTACACCCGCCTGAGAAAGAATGGGGAAAGTGAGAAAGCGCCCTCTAGGGGGAATAGCCACACTGCAATCTCTTCTCCTCCTTTCTTATTTCTTTCTTTAAAGTTTATTTATTCCGTGAGAGATAGAGAGGAGCACCCCACAGGGTCTTCACGCCATCATCCACCCCTGCCTCAGCCGGCCTGGATGATAGGTTTGTGAGTCCGAGTCCAGGGAGGCTGACCTTCTCAGTGGGCCCAGCATTAGAGGGCACTGCATTACCGCTGCACTAGCCTCTGGCTTCTCGTTTCTTTTTCATGGCTTAATAATAGTCTATTGTGTGGACATACCACATTATCTTATTTATCCATTCATCAGTGTTTAGACATTTGGGTCATTTCTAATTTTTTACTATTGTGAATAATACTGCTATAAATGTTTATGTGTGAATTTTTATGTTGATGAGTCCTTTAATTTTTTTTTTTGGAGAGGTTTTTGGTATAGGGCGTGTACACTCACCAGACAGAGAGAGACAGAGAGACAGAAAGCAAGAAATCCCCCCCCCCCCAGGGGGATGGCCATGCCACAATCCCTTCTCCTCCATTCTCCTCTCGGGACCTTGGGCACACATGCACACACACCCAGCGTGAATTTAAGCCACCAGGTACAAGACTCGAACCGCGGTCAACTACATGGGAGTCCAGTGACATAGCCATTACGCTAACTGCTGGTCCCAAATCCTTTAATTTTTAACCACACAGGCAAAAAGTAAAAAGACAAAAACTCTTACAGCTCTGAGAAAATTTTATAAAATTTATTTTGCAGTAATTTTACATTTTTCAAGATTTGGCCATTTCCATATGTAACATCATGAAAGCTCATCATGATAGGGAAACTAGCATCATTATCCAAACCAAAATTTAAAAATCCTAGTAGGTTAGAGGTTCTCTAAGATCCCTTTTATGTTAAGTTTAACACTTCCCCACTTTCTATTACTTCTCCATGTATAGAAAAGATCAAAAAGCCCGTGTTGTGGACATTCCTTCGTTCTGGGGAAATGATCAACAAACATCACTGAGTCCCTCGCCAGCCCCAAGCACAACTGTGCACATGTGACTGGGCCGTGGGCAGTGCTCTGTTGACCATGACTTGCCAAGCTTCCCTGGATCCCCCAATCTGGTCTAGAGTGTTTCTTCCAATTCCAAAACATGTTTTGTCTACAACTTTAAGACTATTTGGTCAAAGGCAACTTTCTTTCTGGTCACTATTTCTGCCTTTCCTTTGGGCAGTTTCCCATGTTCACCTAGAGACTGATGGCTAACTCTGTCCTGCCCAACATCTTCGTCCCCCCTCTGAGACTACGGACTGCACTTACCACAGGCAGCTCAACTATGCAGGTTTGATGCTTCTCTGGACTTTAAGTGTGCCGAGTGCTCTCAGATGTACAAGATTCTCAAGAGGTACTCAATGAGTGTCTGTTGATTATGTGACTTATAAAATTTCCCATTAGTATTCTGTGCAAGATTAAAAGGCTTTGTCAAAATGAATTTTTTAAACTTACTCGTATTTATAATTTATTAATTCATGATATATTTCTCCAATGATCAAGACTTGGGAACTTCAACTTATTCCCGAGGCTCCTCAATAACTACTATGTTAACACAAATTTATTTGCCAAATTTATCTAATAGGAACAGATTCAGAGGCATTAAGAAGCACATTCCTTAAGATTTGACCCAGTAGAGTCTTCAGACAAATGACCCAAGGAGGAAATTTGGCTGACCAATGATTACTTTTGCTTTGTATTTCAGAGCGATTATTCTTTGAAATTTTTAATTTAATTTCACTAAAATCCAGTGACTATTACCTGTGAGTTACAACCTGGAAGCCTGAATCACAATTTACTGCTAGGGGGCCCTGCCAAGCTTTGCCATTCTTTCATAGGGGGGTTTCCCTGGGAGGCCAGTTTTTTTAGATAGTCACTGGGCTCCAGTTGGGGAATATCAGGATTCTGCATGTAATATTTCTGCAGCTTCTCTAAAACGGTGGGCAGCCCAACTGTGGAAGCATAGAACATGGGCCCGCCCCTGTGTCTCGGCCACCCATAGCCACTGAAGTAGATAACGTCAATGTGCTCTGGGCCCGCAGCCATTCCTTCTCCTAAGATACGGAACGCTTCGTTGATAAGCGAGTACAGGCAGCGCTCAAGGATCTCATCCTGGCTAATGGTACGTGGTTCAATGTGATGGGTTTCTCTGTACTGTGCCAGAAATGTGGAAAGCCAGGGGTCAGGTTTATGGACCCTACCCAGTGGCTTGTCATATTGATACCAGCCCTTACCAACCTTCTGCCCAAATCGTCCCAATTCGCAGAGCATATCAGGAATGGGGCAGTATCTCCTATTGCCCCGCCTTCGGGCTGGAGTTCCCGGAGGCAATGCAGGTCCAGTAAGGCCCTGGCCCTTCCGAGATCTCCAACCCACATCCAACCCAGTAAGGTCAGACACTCTAAAAGGTCCCATTTTAAAGCCAAACTCTTCCAGCACCTGATCTATCTCCTCTGGTTTACTGCCTTCTTCTAACAAGAAATACAACTGATTACTATAATGATTCAACATTCGATTCCCAACAAACCCAAAACAGTTGCCTACAACCACCCCGACCTTCCCAATCTTTTTCGATAAGTTCATGACAGTGGCGATGGTGCTGGGCGAAGTGTGGCGGCCGGGAATGACCTCCAGCAATCTCAAGACATGAGCTGGTGCGAAGAAGTGGGTGCCAATGACCAAGTGAGGACGTCCCGTGGACGAAGCGATCTCATCGATGTCCAGGGCCGAGGTGTTGGTGCACAGGAAAGCTTCTGGCTTGCACACAGCTGAGAGTTCAGCAAAGACCTGCTTCTTCAGGTTCATTTCCTCAAACACTGCTTCAATGACTAAATCCACACCACTGAGTTCCTTCATGGATGAAGTTAATCTGGGCTTTGGGCCTGACCAAGGGTCAGGGTGTCCACTCTGCCGCATTCTGGATGCTTCCTTTTCCAAGCTGGAGGTTATTATCTTGTTCGCAGTTTCCAGCTGCTCTTTGTTGGATTCTACAGCAACCACAGGGATCTTGGCCTTGGCGAAACAAATGGCAATGCCTCGGCCCATGGTTCCCAGGCCTGCAATAAAAAATAAAGGAGAGAAGGAGTAATTCAAGGTGCTGACGGCTGAGAAAGTATTCACCGGATGGAAGGCTTCTGTGACAATGTGGCATTTGAAGAGAATGATTCAAAGAACTCAAATAGATTGAGTACTAGTTAAGACAAGGCACTATATTGAGTGCTCCAGAGGATATAAAAATTAGCAGAATTCACACACATACACAACAGCTATTAAAACAAATAAGGGAAAAAATCATTTCTAATCATTGCATCAGGCTGCGCTTTGAGGAGACATTAGGAGTAAATCTGTGGCGTGGTAGGCTTACGCCTTACCTTCTGAGGTTTACTGAGTTCACTGGTGCACAAAAAGCTTTCAGCAAGAATAGCAGATGGATGGACCGTCTGTAGACCAAACTTGGACCCCCCAAAAAGCCAAAGACCCCTTCCGGACAATCAGCCTTTGCGTACTGCTCCAACTGTGCACAGAAAGGCCATCTGGGCATGAATGTACGGAAGGACGGATGATTAACCAGACATTCCAACATCTCAATTCATCGACTACTGCGATGACAAAGAAGAAATTCGGGAGAGAGAATGAAGAATAAACCACAAAGTAAAAGAACTCCAGAAAAATGGGACTTTTCCAAGGCAGTTCAAGACACCTCGTATGGGGGAACCAACAGTTAGCGTAATGGCTATGTCACTGGACTCCCACGTGGTCGACCGCGGTTCGCGTCCCGGACCCGGTGGCTTAAAACTCACGCCGGGCGCATGTGCGTGTGTGCCCAAGATTCTGAGAGGAGAATAGAGGAGAAGAGATTGCGGTGTGACCATCCCCCCTGGGGGGTGATTTCTCGCTTTCTGTCTCTATGTCTCTCTCTGTCTGTCTGGGCGAGCGCACGCGCCCTACAGTGAAAATCTCTCAAAAAAAACAAAAAAAGAGACCTCGTATGGCAGTGAGGCAAGAGGTTCTACCGTCGTAGGAAGAAGGGCCATGCCTCATGGGAAAGCAACAGGTGGCCTCAAGAAAATAAAGAATCCCGGGAACCAGCAGTTAGCGTAATGGCTATGTCGCTGGACTCCCACGTAGTCGACCGCGGTTCGTGTCCTGGACCCGGTGGCTTAAAACTCACGCCGGGCGCGTGTGCGTGCGTGCCCAAGATCCCGAGAGGAGAATGGAGGAGAAGGGATTGCGGCGTGACCATCCCCCCGGGGGGTGATTTCTCGCTTTCTGTCTCTCTGTCTCTCTCTGTCTGTCTGGCGAGCGCACGCGCCCTACAGTGAAAATCTCTCCAAAAAAAAAAAGAAAATAAAGAATCCCCAAGAGGAATGGGGCATTGGAACAGAAAACATGGGGAGAACAGGAAGACTGATGACCATCGTGAAGAACATGAGGGCTTTCCTAGGGGCCCAGAAGCCTCACAAGCCGTGTCACCATCCATCACATTACCTCAAGCCAAGGGAGGACAAGCTTCCCGAAGAGGGCAAGCAGGGCAAGCAGAAGAGTAAGGGCAGATACCTGGAAGATGGTGGCAATGATTATTTCTTATTAAGCAGAGAAAAAAACACCTAAGCTGTAAGACAGCTTCTAATTTGGCTTTTTATTGCTTATTTGGTCTTCATGTCTACAGTATTCTGGTATTTTTATCATCTATGATTAAAGTGAGTTTTCTTTTTTTTTTTTTTTTAATTTGAGCCATACCTAGAGTTGCTAAACAGAGACCAGAGAGATCTCAATTCTCTATGCCAAACAGGTTTTTAGGTAAGAAACAGGAAGATAGACTTCTCCTGTTCCAATTTGTCATTTTTACTCAGACTCCTCTGGATAGGAAAAATTTATCTTTTCAAAAAAAATTTTTTTAAATACTTTGGAAAAAATGTTCATCAGATGTAATTCATCTGCAATGTGAAGATGAAGAGTAAATCCTTGCAAGAAGAGAGATTAATAGAATATCCATCAATCTTTTTCAGCATTGCTTTTTTTAAAAAAAAAAATTTTAACATCAGAAAGTATAATAGCTGTAAGTCTAAAAATCCAGCTTTTTTTTTTTTTTTCTTCCGAAGCTGTTGTCAGAATCTTCTTTTGGACCGAACATCACATGCTGACTAGGAAAACAAAGTGAATCCCTGAAGAGGCCGGTAACTGGGCTGTAGGGAGACACGGGAGGCGTTCATCCAGCATAAATGTCGCAAGACAGAGCTCCTGAAATGAGGGAAAAGGTCGTCCAGAATGCTAACGTCATCACAGTGAAATAGGTACACCATTGTTACAGCCACATTTTAAGAAAACAAATACGAGGGCCAACCAGTGGTAGCACAGGGGTCATGCCCTGTGCACAGGAGCTGGATCCCACACAGTGGCTGTAGTTGGATCCCCAGCCCCGGCAGCTTAAAAAACACACCAGGCACATGTGCATGTGTGCCCCAAGTGGAGAAATGGTGGAGAAAAGATTGCGTTGTGACCACGGCTCATTGAGAGATTCTTTTTCTCTCTCTGATGAGTGCACACACTCTCTACCAATAAGAAAAAAAATATATTTAAAAAAATATATAAGTAGTGGGGCCGGCAGGTGGTGTGGGGGTTAAGGTGTTGTACTCCCACTTGGTCGACCATGGTTTGAGTCCTGGGCCTGGTGGCTTGCCTTCTCACTTTCTCTCTCTCCCTCTCTCTGTCTCTCTGTAGTCAAATTAAAAAATAATAATAAGGAATAAAATAAATAATTATTTATAAAAATATGCATAGTATCGACCCTTAGGAAATTTATTTTCTAGTAATAATAAAAAGAATTTACAAATATCCACCCCACATGGTAAAGTGAGTGACATAAAATGTTTACATTTCTCTGGTGATTCAAAGGAAAGAAGAGATCATTTAGTTGGATGAATCAAGAAAAGCTGTAAGACAAAGACGTTTAAAATGGGCTCTGTCTGGCCGGCAGGTAGTGTTGTGGTTGGGGTGCAGGACTCCCACATGGCTACCCATGACTCCCACATGGCTACCCAGGACTCCCACATGGCTACCCAGGCCTCCCACATGGCTACCCATGATTTGAGTCCTGGACCTGGGAGCTTGCTTTCTCCCAGGCCTCCCACATGGCTACCCATGATTTGAGTCCTGGACCTGGGAGCTTGCTTTCTCACTTTCTCTCTCTCTCTCTCTCTGTGTGTGTCTCTCTATTGAGCACATGTGCCCTGTAGCAAATTTAAAAATAATAATAATGATAAATAAAAATTTAAAATAAATGGGTCTTGGTGAAAGATAATATTAAAATAGGTAAAATTGGGGAAGTTGACCATCTAAATTAGGGAAAAGATAAGAAAAAAAGAGGAAGTTTTTTTGAGAATTATTTTATTTAGTTTTATTTATTTATGTATATATGTATTTATTTTAATTTGACTAGAGAGAGAGAGAAAGTGAGAAAGCAAGCCACCAGGTCCAGGACTTCCATGTGATGTGAAAGGCTAGTGCCCTTAACCACCACTCCCCTCTGGCCCCCAAGAAAGATTTTTAAGCAAAGACAAGAATGGAAAATGTAGACAAAGTATTTGATGGAAAATGCTAGTCTTAAATCCCCGTACTTCTTCCTTGCAGGCACACGGAAGACTGTGTTTTCTAGTCCCCTGGCATCCCCGTAGGGCCCGTGACTAATTCCGGTCAATAAAATGTGGTGGGAGCTGGGAGGAGGGGAGGTGATGTGGGATCTAGGATTAGTCCCTGAAATCTCCCACAAGACCCTTCCCTGCACCTGGATGTCGGATGTGAGAGCGACTCAGGCCTCAGAGGAGCCGGGGAGCAGAAGCTGGCATAACAGCCAGCAGGGCAAACCTGGCCTGCTGCCGATTTTGGTACTGCCTGCCAGTTAAGGTTTTACATTTTTAAAGAGTTGGAAAAAAAAAAAAGAAGAATTTTATTATTTCAGATTTCAGTGTCCATAAATAAAGTTTTATTGGATGGCAACCATGCTAATTTGCTTCCCTATGGTCTATGGCGGGTCTTGTGCACAATGGCAGACTTGAATCATTGCCACAGAGAAGCCATGGCCCACGAAGTCAAAGTATTTACTGTCTGGGACTTTACAGAAAAAGTTTGCTGACCTTTGTCCTAGCACAGCCACTAGTTGCAAAAAACCTGGTCCTAGAATGACCTATGAAATAAGCAACAATTAAGTCTTCGTTGTGGTAAGATGCTGAGCTTTTTGGGTTACCTGTTCTAGCAGCAGGTTACCTGTCACCTCACCAATGCACCGTGGGTGAAACAGCTTTGAGAAAGCCAATTATTCATCACTTTCCTAGACTGCATCCTGACTTGCTTTGGACACTGATTCTGGATCTAGGATGTATCAATCATCAAAAATCTTTGGCTTAGAGTCTCAGGGATATCGCTATTTAATTTTCCAAATGTATTAAATTATGTAATACTAAACAATAGTATATATAATAAATTATTAAACAGTTTTATTAAATATCTCTATTTCTCCCAGTAACAGGAAGGCTGAGTAGGTGCCTGTGCTCCGGCAACCTGTAGCCTAAACTTCAGCTTGGGTGACTGGAGGTAGAGTGTGGGGTTCAAAACCCTGGCCTTCTAGTTACTACTCCCAAACTTCACATCAAAGTTCTAGCCGTGCAGAAATGATGATCTTCGTGGTACAGTAAGGAGCAGTGAGGAGTTTGGCACAGGGCTTTGTAAACTGTGGTGTAACGTGGGTGTTGTCTGAAGCAGGCAAGGAAGCAGGGCAGGGGGGCGCTGAGTAATCAGTGCTCACACCTCTCAGCTAGTCTGTCTGCTGAGGCCCTCGCAGGCCAGTGGGAGGAGTGCTCCAAATCAACTCATAACCCACATCACAAAACCGAACAGACTGACGCCCTGCAGAAGTGTTCTAAATACAATCTTAGATTTCTTTTTTTTATTTCTACAACCTGAAACTTTCATTTCACTGTTGGTTATTATGGGTTCATGTGTACTTCTTGCATTTATATTGAATTAAATTCTCTAGTTTTGCCCCATAAACACATCCAGA